GCACCCTCTCCTCGTAGTGGAGATGCTCCAGTCCCCTCCCCATCCTTGTAGCCCTCCGCTGGACTCTCTCCAGTAGCTCTTCATCCTTCTTGAACTGGGGAGCCCAGAACTGGACACAGTACTCCAGATGAGGCCTCACCAGGGCAGTGTAGAGGGGAAGGAGAACCTCCCTTGTCCTGCTGGCCACACTCTTCTTGATGCAGCCACACTCTTCTTGATGCAATAATAATGTTGTTCCTTTCCCTAGGATGCCAGTTTCTCCAGCCCTTAGGCAGAAGTAGGTAATGTCACCCCATTTTTTAATGGAGGAGAGCAGAATAAAACTAAACTAAGGGAAGAAAGACCTGGCGGTGGGGGGGGTGGGGGGGGGGGGGGGGTGGAACAACAACCCAAAAAAACCCAAAAATAAACAAATAGACTTGAGATTGTGATCCAAGTCTGTTAGTTCTGCTACTTTTTTTTTTCCCCAACAAGACAAAAGAAATACGTTTCAGAGAGGGTAGGCTCAATAGCCAAGTACTGCTTTCTGTATAGTCTTCCATCCTCTGCTGCCAAGGAAGAAAGGGAGCTAGGCAGAAAAGAAATGCCTCCACCTTAAGATAATACAGAACTGAAAACCAGCATCTGCTAGTGATTTATTGTTGTGAAGGGAAACAAGATATGGGCAGAAGTCCCAAAATCTGTTTCTGAAGCAAACAATAGTAAAGCTGAATTTACCTGGATTATTTAATTTAGGAATAGGTTAAAACAGGTTTTGTCTGAAAGAGTTTATTTCTTAACCATATAGTTAATGTCTTTCCCTCCACCATCCTGTGAATATTCTGGTTAGCTGGAGCTACAGTCTTTTTAAAAACTGAAATTAATTAATTTCTCTAGAGTTATTTAATATTTCTCATTAATAGTAGTTCTTCCAATATTTGTGTTGCCCAGACTTCACTATCTTACATAATAAAGCATTATTGCTGTGTAATTTTAATTAATTGTGGGAAAACATCATTCTCTGTTATTTAACTATTTCCATAGGTTTTGCCCAAAAAAGGCAGCAAGAATTGGTCTTTCCTCATTAAGAACCCTGCTATTCTATATGTTCCAGCATAAAATGTCTCTTTAAAAGATTATCAGTATCTGCTTACATAATTATAATTCAGTAAATGACATGTCCTGAGACAACCAACTGAAAAATTAAAATGACTTTTTAAAAAAAGTTCATATAGTAAGAGTTACGTATCTTCTAAGATATGAATGGAAATGTGAGATTTTCCCTTCACTTGTGTTGCAAGAATATGATGTATGTTTCTGTCATCTTATTTTTTCTACTCAGAAAAGAAATTCAGATTCCCGTCTTAAAGCAGCATCTATTTAGAGAAAAGGCTCTCTACACTAGCTAGACTGTAAACTGTCATTTCAGGCTAGCTCAACAGATACAAGCTCCCAGTTGGGATCGTGTTTTGGAATTTATCAGTGATTCATACCAGGTATATTACTCACATGTTTTGGGTGGTAATTTATAGTTTGTGAAGCATGCAGTATACATGTTTTGTGAAGGCCTGCTAGACAGTGTCATCAGGTGCTTGTCAAGGATAAAAACAAAGTCAGCCTTTGCCTTCAGATCACAGGGGGGGTGGGGGGGAGTGCGGGTGGAACCAACTTTGGCCATGCGCCAAAAGACATAAAATGGGTAAGTAAAAGCTTTATAGTGTGATGAAAACTCTGTACACAGTGGAGGCTTACACTGCTTGGAGACCTTTGCTTGATATACTGTTTGCTAAATAGGACAGGAGCCATTAAGAAAGTCAATATTGGTACCAAATTATCAAACAACTTGTAATTTTATGACTAAACACCAGAATTTATGGACAGCTGTTATTTTTCCTTGCTTAGTTACATAATTAAGTTCACATAGGACACCAGTCTTAACTGTTTTGCATCTTACAAATGGTGGGAGTTAGAAGGCTTTTACGTGACTTCTCAACTAGTACAATGTCATACAACTTTTTGTACATTAGTATTTCTTAGGTCTGCTAGAGACAGTTTAGGATTCTGACAAAATAGAAGCAGATCTTGCATGCATGTGACTTTTTATTTTTATTGTATACCAAAAAGCCTTTTTTGAATGTAATTTACAAGGGATTCGGAAGTGGGGTTGAGTCAAACCTGAAGAAAATATGTGCCTAAAACCCTTCAAGGGTTGCTTGTTCTAATTGTTTTCCAAGTCCCCTTTCTCCTTGAACTGGATGTGGACATGAACTATTTGAATTGAAACCAGACCAACTTCAGCTGTGGCTAAGCCAAGTCCAGAACTGAATCAGAAAGTTTGATTGTTGGGTTTGGGGATTGTTGGACTCTGTTTTTAAGGTTAATTATTTTCAATTATAACTTTTATCTCTTCATATCAAGCTAGTTCCACTTGTAATTTTTGACTAGGCTGATTTCCAGTCAAGTTACTGCCTATTCAGAGATATATTTGCGAAAAGCTTATGTGAAAAACTGACAAATGTCTTGTGAATCTTACTTTATACATTAGTTCAAATTAACTGTAATTCTAGGGAGTTTTTAATGCAGCATGGTAATCTGTCTTTAATGACATTATTTGATTTTTTTTTAATGCATTTGGGGTGGGGGGGTCAAATTTTTGCTATTAGAGTTCAGAGATAAGCTAAAACCTCATGAGAAGGTCACTTTTTCACGTATTCGTGTTCCAGCAGGTTGTAGTCTTTGCAGGAAACTCTTGGATCAATTTGCTTGTGTAATCCATAGCAATTTACACATATCCTGTAAGCCTGAAACCAGGGAATTTTTCCAGGAGAGCAGACTTACTGCCAGTGCGCATGCTGCTTCTATCAGGGTACCTGGGGTATCAAGATGAACAGCAGTAACAATGGTTACACCAGTTTCTTCTTCTCATTGGTCATGGACAGACCCTCATAGTTCACAGACTTAGATCGTTGTTGTTATTCTTTGCTTAGTTTAATTACCAATACATCATAAGTAAAATTACTATTTATTCCCATCCCTGCTTCTCTCTGTTAAATAATAGCAGTGATGGCTGTGCTTAGATTTCCAAGGTTTATGTGCCATAATGATTGTCATAATGCACATTTACTCTTTAGTGGGATCAATCTTACCTAATACACAAAAATAGTGCATGGATTTATGATGAGAGAATGTTTTGGGGGTGTTCTGTTGGATCAATTGATCAGAGTTATTCATTAAGATGTTTATTTAATCAAATAGTAGCCCCAAGACTTCTTACAAAGAAATCAAGCATGCGGGTGTGTGACTTCGTTCTTGGCTAAAGACTATTCCTGTCAATGAAGGAATCTTCATAGGTAAACTAGTGTGAGAAGTTAAACTCTTCATAGGAAGATAAAGAATTAAAATTATGGGAAAGAGGAAATTAAGTTCCTGAACTGCATGTTTGGATTTGTTCAGTTTGGCTTCCGAAGAAGCAAGATCTAGAAACATAACTATTTCTAAAAGCATCGTACAGGTTTGTCCACTTAGAACGGCTACTATCTAAAACTTGTGTTGCTTGTTGGGAGAGCAGCACCTGGATTTTTGAAAAAGTCTTTTTACACAACCCTGTCTAGTACAAAACATTTAGACTCCCACACGTTTGAAACTCTGGTGCTTTCAGAGATCAAATCGTACTTTGTTACAGAATATATACGATGATTATCCCATAGTGCTTACTGATTTACTGGTAGAAAAAAGCAATTTATTAATCTGTCTGCTGTCTAGTAGAAAGGTATAGCTTCCTTCTGGCATTTTACCATACATTTGAGAACTGAAATCAGTTCTTGGACTGTTGTTAAGTGTAGGCATAACCAAGTCTGAATGTCATTTGACAATTTCTCATCAATCCTAGTCATTGAGTTTTGAGGTTCAAGCTGTGCATGTTCTTAGTAATCTTAAAAAAGACTATTTTGTATAAATGAAACTCTGTGTGAATGCAACATGCTTTTAATGTGTTCCACATTGATATGATATTTCAGGGAAACATTTTTCCTTTAAATGGTTAACTTCTGTTTTAGTATTTGGACACTAAAGTTTTGATAGAAGAGTAGTGCTGTCCCATTTTTATTTTGTCATCTGTTAACAGATCATGTACAGGTGAACTAGTGAATGTGTAGTATACAGCTCTACAGACAGGCTTTGCATGTGCAAGCCCTTGTTGCCTTAGCCATTGCCCTTACACCTTTCAAGCTTTTTGGCTATTTGAAATATTTGTGTGCATGCAAAAAAACTTTCATTTTAACAAGTATTTCTTAACTGTTACTGTTCAGTATTATATGCTGCTTTGCATTAGTATTACATCATGAAATTTCTGAAGGAAAACTTTACTATGTAAACCTAAAAATGCATTACTAGCCTTAAAATATCAATAAAATTCAATTTTCTTAATCATGGGCAGCCTTGACAGCAATTTCTCGTCAAACAAGAAAACAGAAAACTTCCTTGTCTGCTTCTAGTTAGTGCTATGGAATAATATTTAGGACTCTTCTGAGGCAACTTCCATCTTTAGCATCTAAGTGTGAACTCCTGTGCTTTATTTCTTTCACTGGAATGGAAAGAATGAGCTTTTAAATATTAACATATTGCAGTTATTCAAATGATCAGATTTAATGATGTAAGAATTTAGTGGAATTCCTCTGTACAAAGAAGAACGCTTTCATAAGCACCCTAGAACCTAAATTCTGTAAGTGACATAAGGAGTTTTGCTGGAAAACAAACTTGGCAATGCAACAACAAATAAAAAGCGTATCACTGCAACAGTAAGAAGGTAATTTGAACAAAGGCACTGTAATTTCACATGTCATATGCACATGTGGTTGTAATCTTCAAGATCGTCTTTCATCTGACTTACTTTTGCAATTATATCTTTAACATCACTCATTTTTTCAAAACAAATTATATTTGTACCTAATGTATATTTATAACATGTAAACAACTGTTCTGATAAGTCTGTCTTGCTGAAAATGTGGTGGGTTTCACTGAAATTTTGTGAGGTATATTTTGTAAAAAAAAAAAAACTTTAGTAGGAAGAAGTAAATGACACTTCAGTTACTGTGGGCTATGTCCAAATTAATTTTAAAAAGTCATCTATAACGATTGCTATCACAATTGGCTGGTTTATAGCTAATAAGAAATGAAGTTCCTGACTTCAATGGAAGGAAGGATAAAATAGCAGCTGTATTTACCATACACTGTTTTTATATTCCAGCAGGTCTTTGTGATATCAATGAAGGTACAGTGGTGCCAGAAGACCGCTGCAAATCCCCCACTTCAGGTAATCATAACTTTCTCTGATCTTCCGCTTATTTGCCCAGAAGATGGCATACTTTAAGTCAACCTTTGCTAGTTAAGGAATTATATAAAACCTATTGTCTTCTCGCAAACTGTTTGAACTGTCATAAATTTTGCTGTATTGCGCAGCTGCATTTTTAAAATAAGACTGATTTAAGAGAAGCAATAGGAAGATGTCATAAAGACGAGTGAAGAGAGATATATTCTGAAATATTTACGCTTCAGGGAACATACTGCACAACGGAATTTTGAAACATTGGTGAGAGATGCACAAATTCCTGTAAAGGTTCATGTGATTGTGTTTGAGTCCTCAAATCAGAAAGATTATTGCTGTAAAAAGAGCTAGTTTGCTTCTGCTTCCTCATAAGTGGTAAATTACTTTTTTCTTTGGAATCAGACGTCTTCAGGAACTGGCATCCTTACAAAGTAGCAGTTACCTGCTTAAAGCTCCCCCCCCCTTTTTTTTACTTGCTACTACTTTACATGAATATTTTAAATGAAAGCTTCAGCAATATGTAATACTACTTAGTATTTTGTTTAATATTGGCTAGTTGAGGCTGTAGCTGTGTAAATACTTAATAATGTATGTCAATATATAGTATTCAAGAGGAGTATTTCATGTAGTAGCTAAAAATTTGTTGCTTGTCTTCGCTCTTACTCTGAGAACTTTAAAAATATGTCACTTTATCCATTTCATTCGAAGCTGTACTCAAATTTAAAGAACAAAACTGCAGGTTTACTGAAGTACCTATAGCAGTATGTGCACTCTTTGCAGTGTAGTACAAAATGGTAATCAGTATAGGAATCTAACGATAGATTCCTTTTGTAGCCTGTACCTTTCAAAGCCACATTGAAAGTGTAATAAAACAAAATATCTTGTTTGTAGCTCTAGTAGAAATTTTAATGTAAATTTTAATTTCTGATTTCACAACTGCTATCTTTTGACGTTAATTTGAAATTGTGCAAAACTCTCATCTAGATCAATGTCCCTTTCTTTTTTAACCCTTTCTTAGAGTAGATTTATTTATAATTAAAGCAAAATTTGACTGAAAACTTTAATTAAAAAGTCTTACCTGAAGATGTGATATCATGACAAACCTGTGTAATGCTAAGTATTGGCATGCTGAAGTTGTCATCTTTAGAACAATTTTTAATGTAAGCATTTTTTGTGGTGTTTAGAATAAAGTGCATCTTTCCCATTTCGTTTCTAAATATCAACATCTGTAAACAACTTGCAGTGCAGTGCTGCAGTTGCAGTAAGTCACTTCCTCTGTCGAGATTAAGGAGAATTATCATTCTTACTAAGGTAGTTGAATCTGACCCATTTAAAAAGTCCAGACTAAGTCTAGTTTCTGACAGACTGCTGTAAAATATGTACAATGAACAGCTGATGAGTTGTAACCCTTAATCTGTATCCTTTTTTTCCCCTTGCTCCAGCATCATTCAAATGTCAGCCCAAACCACTTCCAACTGGTACTGCTAAAACCTAAAGCACTATTTAATTTGAATTAGTGTTTGTTTCATAATTTGGAGTTGGAATAAAACTCAATTCACCGTTTCCACTAATAGTGCAATGAAAGCAAGCCCAAAAATGAAAATCAAGGTTTATATGGACAAATCCTAAATTTAACAATTTGCTTTCCCTCCCTCTCTGTTTACCTCCCTCCCTCATGACTGAGTTGTGTTAGCTGAAGTTGGTTAAAAACTAATGCAGTTTGGATATTTCTTTAAGAGGATCAAAAAAGGAGGCAACTCTGGAATAGATGGATTCAAGTGTCTTGAAAGGAAACAGAATTAGCTAATCCTGCAGAGGTAGAAATCCATCTCCAATTTATGAGTTGACTATCTGAGACGATTATTTTGAAGTTAATTCATGTAAGAATAAAATCTAGAAGTTTGGAGAACTGAGTGTTCTGGGAAAAGAGTATATAATGTCTTAGGTACATGCACAATACTAAAGAGAAAAAAGTCAAAATTACCCAAAATAGTGAGTGGACAAAAGATGGAGGGGGGGAAAAGCCACTGTTGCATTCCATTGTAAAACAGAATCTTGAAGTAGCAAGGTTGGACTGTGCCTTGCTTCGCTCAGTTCTGTCCTCTCCTCCCAGCTCTCAGTGAATGAGATAAGGTTCCTGGCAGGCTTCTGCAGTTTTCCTTTGCGAAAGGTATGCAGAGGGAGGCACCTCCCTGATATGGAAATCAATTAGTGATGTTTGAGTGAAGAGCTGCAGTTCCTTAGGTTTTGTTGAAGTTTTACATCTTTTCTGGGCAGGAGCACAGGACTAGAAAGAAGCTTGAAAATGGCATTCTGTTTCCAGAGAGATGAGGACATTTTGGAGAAGTCAGCTGCACAGTGTTGGTGAGCTTGAGATGCAGGACAGAGGCCAGATTTAAATGAATTTTTTCCAGTCTAGAGGCTAAGAGGAAAATACACCAGCACATTATGTTTGCTTGTTACTAGCTTTAAGATTGAGGATGAGATTGGCAATGGAGTGAAGTGCGTTACTGGCTTTGACTGTTACTATATGTTCTGTAAAACAGACCGGCCGCTGTTTGGGCAGAAGTCTGCATTTGCTCAAGTGATCTAAATCTTCCACCTTTCTGTGCCCAGGTGAAAAGAAGTGGAAGCTGACTTCTATTAAACTTCTTCCAGTGGGTGGTTGTACAGTTGAAAGGACTGTGAAAGGGACTATCTGCCTGTACAAGTTAGGAGAATATCCTACAGTTTTAATAACACAGAACTATAGAAATACTGTGAAAATGCAAGAGAAATATAATTGTCTCCTGCTTTTTCTACAGAAGTTAAACAGTAATAAATTTAGGCTCTGGGTGCATTTATCTGACCCATAATACATTGTATACCATTGTAAGCTGTCAAGTTTTTGTGTTCACGAGTGTCAAAATGTTTGTATTCTATTCTTATTTTCCACTTTCACAATATAAAATCCAATGAGATTTGCATTTTTTAGTTGAACTATGTTTCATGAGAATGGTAAGCCTCACGTTGTGGCCTTATAGCAGCTACTGTTTCTTCAGTATTAGGGATTCAGAAAAATCCCAAGTGGCAGCATTGGCTCAGAGTTGTCTACAGAACAGCTGAAGAACTGAGGGCCAACAGTGGCTTACTGCACTGGAAAAAAAGCAGATTTTCAAAACTTGAGTTTATTGTTACAGCAGTGTTCTGTAAATCATAATTTAAGCTAATCTTTGTGTCTGGAACCATGATTAGGACAGCAATCTAGTTATTCAATGTAAATGTTCCATTCAGTGAGGGAAATATTTCTACCAATAAACTTGCTGCACTATGCAACATTGTACCTTGCATTGTAATTTTTGTGGTTAATCTCAAAATGGCAGAATCTATGTCATACCAAAATAATTTGGACTTTATAGTATCTAATACAGCTACGGAGAATACCAGTATCACTATTTGATATTTTAATACATCTTTACATCTTCCTTTGACACAAAACCAATGTATTAATACAAGCTTTGAGTTTAAGATATGTGTTTGTATATCCATTTCATTCTGTCTTCACTCATAGGTTCTGGTTCACCAAACAATTCTGATGATGATCAAAAAATGAATAATTTTATAGAAAAGGGTACAGTATTTTTCTTTTTATAGTCTTTTTTTTTTTAGTTCATCTTTTGACACTTAAATTGATCTTTTTTATTAAAATATTATTTACAGTGAAGACCAAAAGCAGAAAGTTTTCCAAGATGGTAGCCAATGACATAGGTAGGAACTAGAAAAATTCTGCTCTGTTCCTAATCCAGTGCCTTGCTTTATGCAACACTAACCCAGCAGCAAAAATAAAATAAAATTCAAATTTCAATGCATTGTTATTAATTTTTCATTCTTTATGCTAATTGGTAATTCTGTGGGCTGCTTCTGTACTAAATACACTGGGCACGATAATTTTTTTGAAAAATCAAAGATATTGGTGGTTTAAATTATCTGACTACAATTGCACTTCTCTGTTTTCTGGATGAGTGAAATTCTAATCCATACGAAGAGTTCAGTCTATGCAAGTCACAACATTATTCCACTACTTTTGCAAAGGTGCACTCTCTTTGAGAACATGTGGCTGATTTAGCATCTTTGTGTTGCATTCATAGCCATATGGTCAGAGTTCCATATGACTATGGTCAAGTTAGAGGTAACATCATGTTTTCATTTAACTGTCTGGAAGAGGACTTGGTCATTCCAGACTTGTGTCTTAACAATTTGGTGACAGAATTGCCTTGGAATATGTTGTGTGCAGGTAGATTGAACCCTTTTATGACTGGAATGGAAATTAAGTCTGCTTCTGACAACTGGGTCATTAAATGAAAGCAAGAGGCTGGGTGATTTAATTTTGGGAAAGGCACTCTTCTTCCTTAACTGGAATGTGGTTATTTTGAGTTCAGAATCACTCTGTTGATAGTTCATTTTGTTTTTGTTTAGTACATTAGTATGTCATTGTAGGAGGATTTCATTTTATCTCTCTAGTGAGATCAAAAGGTTGAAACTACCTTATATAGTAAAACTGTTTGCTAAACTACTGTTTCATAGGTGGGGTTGAACCATAGGTTAAGACTAGGGAGAAAGAAATTTCCTTTCCTGTAGTCATCCTTTGATTTGCTGTCCAGCAATTTAACTTCTATACTAAACCATTAATCCCTTTCTTTGTAATTCAGTCGTTGAGAAGAAGAATCATTCAAAATTCAGTGAGATAAATATGAGTATGATGAAGTCATCTTTGGAATCTGAGATACAGAATGAGGAAGAGTGAGAATATGCCCTTTGCTCACTACTACGTTGAGCCCCCCTTGCAGTGATAACAGAAATATTAGGGAAGATGAGCTATGGAAGCCTAAATATAATTCAAGAAAACAGATGGCTGTCAATAGTATATTATGTCAATTCATAATATATTATGTCAATTAAAAAAAAATTTGAGCATCATGTACATGAGTATTGATTAATAGGTTCTCCTAAAGGAAGTTCAGGCTAACTAGGATCTTATGTTCAGTTCTTCTAATGAGAAAAATAACACTTGATCTTGTGTGTGTTATATCAATGCCTGTTGATGAGGTAATGTTTCCATTTTGTCCCAAAGCAGTCTCTTCTGAACTTAAGACAACCTGTCTTGTGCAAAAAATTCATTGTGTTTGAGTATGACTTCATTATTTTTTCACCTTTTCAGAGGGTAATGTTACTGTATTAATAAAACATGCTAATGACAATTTTGTAGAACTATTGACGTCTGTTTCAGCTTGAAGCCTTTCAACTGAAACTATTGTGAATGTTTTTCACAGCTAAAAGAGCAACACATTCATTTATAAGTAATACATTCTTCAGGGTGTAAGTTAAACACATAGTTGAGACAATACATTTGATGTGTAGTTCAAAAGTGTCTCCAAGTCAGCCCACGCCATGATTTGTGTAACTTGCACAATTTATTGGAAGTTTAAGGAAACTTAATTATTTCATCTGCATTCTGTTAGAGTTTTGAGTGGTTCAGTGCCATGCACTGAATGTCTTTTCACTGCCATGTTTTCTGTACCTCATCTGGCATGTTTATTCTGCATGGGTCTTTCTGAACTTACATTCTAAGCTCTTCCACAGAAGTAAAATGCTACTTTAGTGTTAATAGTTGCATGCTTTTGCATTTCATTGTTTTAAACTAAATTCCCATCTAAATGTGAATGGACAATGCGTTTTGTAAAATGTGTCACTTGCTGTCGTTAACTTCATGTTGTATGAGGAAAAATTGTTCACCATCAACTGTGTTCACACGGATGAATTTGATAGCATGGTTGCAGCTCTTTGCACTGGCGTAGAGTGCAATCAGTTCAAGTTCTTTCCATTCTTTGTCGGTGTGAGATACAACCTGTCAAATGGGTTGCAAAACAATTATTTACATTTATAATTTCAGTTGCTGTTAATATCATTCCTGTGTGTTTTGTCACATGGGAACAGAGTAAGGGAACACTGCTTGCAAAGTAAGAAGTAATTTTGTTTCAGTGATAGGGCTGTAAGGTGGTAACATAGTACACGTGCATTTAGAAAAATGAAGCCATTGTCAATTTAGTCACTTTATTGAAACTTATATAGACACATCTTCATTTCTGCAGATTTCTATTGTTAGTCACAGTATCAGACAAGGATTTTTGCTTTGTTAATGCAATCAAAAACCATCTAAGACTGCAACAATGGCATAAATAAAACAAAATGTTAATGCTTCGTGTACCAACACTGTTAAAATTAGTTGGTCTGTTTTTTGGTAAATACTCAATTGTGAATGTTCTGTGCTAAGGAAAGGATAGTAACTGATGTTAAAGACCTATTGTGAATACGTTGCTTTTGGGTCATGTTTCCCTTTTATTTGCATCAGAGGTGGACTTCGGAATAGTTGCAATTACCTTGGATATATGGAGATAGTTGGTTTAAGTAACCATTTCTAGAAATTACAGAAAATACTGTGGCCATTATGAAAAGCAGCCATTTCTCTTAGTAGTGGTAAATATTTGAAGGTACAAATAACGTGCTGCGAAGTAGTAGAGCAAAGGGTACCAAGTGTGGGTGAACTTAGAGGAAGAAGAAACGATAGGAAGCATTTAATTTCTAAGGCCATGTCCTTTTTCTAGAAAGGCATGATCCAGCTTCAGTGGAAGCAAAATCTTAAACTGTTTTACTCATTCTTTGGTCAGTTAATTATTTGGCATTAGGAGATATATGCGAGTAAATACATAGCTACAAATCAGGTCAGAAGTTAAAAGGTATTGTAATGCCCGTTTCTGGAAGAAGCGTTAGTAAAGATACGTGCAAAATATTGTAGGCTCTTAAGACTTTCGTAACAGTTCCAGTAGGCTATGTGTCAATTACTTTTGAGGAAATGGTTTTATTTATTTTCTGCAGTTTATAAGTTTAAAACCAATTGCAAACAGTAGGTAGATCTAAGCAGAGTAGCTTTAATTCCAAACTTCTATAATCCCTGCTGTTACTATTGGCATAAGTTTTTCACATTTGTTATGTTCTAAGTGTACACCTACATTTTTCAAACAGTGCTAAAGTCGTCGACTATTAATGCTGTTTTCACAGAATCAAAGCTTAAGATGCTCCTGATAAGTTCTCATTTCCCCTAATGTCAGAATAAGACTGTTTCTTCCAGTGTGTTTTTAATACTTTGAGCTAATTTTGGATATATGAAGTACATCATCTCTTACATTCTCTTGTAAAATGGTTTTATTATTCTTATCAATTTTAGAGATTTCAGCATTGATAGTCTGTTTCTCTATTGTACTGTCATCAGTACACTGTTCAATTCTTTAAGCCT